GCGCGGAGCGGGGCTGCGCGGGGCACCGCGGCGCGGGCACACACACGCACTGACACACTCCCGACACAGCCCCGCTTCCACGCTCGGTCCCACTCAGCCCTCGCGCCCGGGTCTCGGCTGCCTGCGGGGATGGCCACGCCGGCCCCACTGACCTTTGGGGCCCCTGGCGCCCCGGGCTCGCTCCCGACGTGGCCGCGCAATGGCACCCGCGGGAGGCTGGTGGCGCTCACCCCGTCGCCGCCGCCAGCGCCGTGTCCATCCGGACCCCAGCGCCCTCCTCCCGGCGCGGGCTCCCCTCGCAGCCCGCCCAGCCGCGTGCACCGTCACCGCGGCGCGCACACGCGCACAGCCCGCCCCGCACGCACGGGGCTGCGCCGCCCGCAGCCGCCCGCGCACCTGGCGGGGAGGTTCGGGTGGGGCAGTGCCCACCCGGCTCTCCAGATGCCCGCGCCGCCGTCCGTCACCACCCGGTCCCCGGGTGGGGGCGGGGGGCGCAGCCGCGCAACTGCTCGGGAGGATTGGGGGGCGTCAGGGAGGGATCGGGTCCCCGGACCTGAGCGCCGTGCGCCGCCGCGGGGATGCTCGCGTCGCCACCGTCTGGGGATGCCCGAGGCGGCTTCTCCGGAACAAAGGCGCGGGGCGGGGCGGCGGCGCCCAGGGCCCGGAGGCGAGAGCGGGAGCGGCCCACCTGCTCGCACGAGTCGCTGGGGAAGAGGCAGGCTGGGCGCTGAGGAAGGACCTGGAAAGGGTCCCGGGTCCTGGTCCGTGGGGGAGGACGTCCCCCAGCTCTGCGTGGAGGAGACGGGAGAAGTGCGCAGCTCCCGGTGCTTGGCAGTGGGAGGCCAACCGGAAGGATGGCCAGAACCCCTGGAACTGCCCCCGTGCTGGATCGGGCAGCCTACTCCGCACAAACGCGCCGCCAGTTTCTGCCAAACCAAAAAGGGCACCTGAGCTGCCAGGGTCTGAAGGAATGGAGAGGGTCTTCTGGGCAAACTCTGGGAGGTGCGAGTCCCGCGGGGGCGGCCGCCAAGCAGGGCGTGAGCACCTCAGTGACGGGAAGCTCACTCAGTTCTCCGCAGCTCTGGGCGCTAGAAAGCTCTTCCCTTAATAGCACGAAGATTTTCCTCTGCTGTTGGTCTGGCGCGTCACTCTGCGCTGGCCACAATAGCTTTCTTCATCTAGAACAAACCTGGGACCTTGAACTTGCTGTTCCCCTGCAGGAATACTCTTCTCCCTCATCCATTAACACCCCATCACGGGCAGCTGCTCCATAAATCTTCAGGGACTCAAGGCAAATATCCCTGTCTCTGGAGAGCCTCCCATCCGCCCCAAACCCACACCCACTGCTTTCTTTACTCTTGATCTCAGTGCACTGTTCGAGATGCTTCCTCTGCTGTCTGCTCACCTCAGAAAATTTTCTTGCTTCTGTGTCAGTCTCCCACTGAATATGTGTGTTTCCTGTGGAGACAGGACCAGTGCCAGCCTGACAAGGCACCATAATCTGGGGCCTGAGCCAGCGCAGGGTAGAAGGAAGAAAGGCAGGCAGGGTGGTCAGCCCACCGCTCACATCCTTTCAGCAGCCTGTCCCACCGTGTCCTTACATGCACCCTGCCCAGGATCTCAGGGTGACATCTGACACAGTTCCTGTTCACTGAATAAGGGAACAAACCAAGAAATCTGATGGGCTTCAGTCTCAGAGCAGTGGGACCTCCCCTCTCTGACTATGAACTCTGCCCTGCCCAAGCATTTCTCATAAACCTCAAACTGGAGGCCTTACCTAAGCTTTCAGTTGACTGAACCCTCAACCAGCCAATTCTCTCATCTGCCTTCTCACATGCATACTGAATTGGGGGCCAAAATCAATTACTTTTTATCCCCTTCTCTTACTGTTTTTTTTTTGGGAGGGTGACAGACACATCAGGGCTCAGGGGCTTACTCCTGGCTCTGCACTCAGGGATCACTTGTGGAGGGGTTCAGGAGGACCAAACGATGTTCCAGTGATCAAACCCAGGTTGGCCACGCACAAGGCAAGTGTCCTGCCCTGCCCCGTACTGTCACCTCAGGTTAAGCAGGCAGAGCCGAACCACTTCAGTCTTAGAACAGGCCTCCCCACTCCCTGAGCACCAGAAGCTCCTGGTGACCTGAGTAACCCTTCCCAGCATTTCTTGGTTCCTGTCGATTCCAGCTAGTGCCCGTTTAGCCTGGAGCCACTTTCCTAAGGCTCCTGCAAAGGTCTAGGCAGGGAAGACCTTGCCCTCATGGCACCAATGTGCCAGTGGCCGCAGACAGTGGACAGAGAGCAGGAAGAGGACCAGGGAGCTGAGCGCTTTGGTGGCTGGAGGGAGCGGGTAAGCGCTTTCTGTCAGAGGGCACTTGGCATGCAATAGGGCTTTATACTGCCTGAAACTGAAGCTCCAGCCCTTCGTGCCCACATTTCCCCAGTGTGCTCCCAAGACAACTGCTGTCCTTTCCTGAAAGCCCTCACAGCTGCACTCTCAGAATTTCTTGTCCAACTCTTCCCAATGTGCTTGCCTTAAGCTCCAGGCAAAGGTTCTCATACTTATTTGGCCTACCACCCCTTTACCAGAAAACCAAGTCATTCACGCAGGAAACCCCTGGAAATCTACCTTCTTTAAAAGATCAACAGGGCTGGAGTGATAGGACAGCGGGGAGGGCTTTTGCCTTGCTCGTGGTCTACCCGGATTCGATCCCCGGCGTCCATATGGTCCCCCAAGAACCACCAGGAGTCATCCCTGAATGAAAAGCCAGGAGCAACCCCTCAGCATTGCTGAGTGTAACCCAAAAAGCAAAAAAATAAAAATATTAAAAATAAAAGATTAACAGAGGATCAGAGAAATTGTAGAGTGAGTAAGGTGCTTGCACTTTGCATGTGGCTAACCCAGATGTGAACCCTGACATCCTCTATCCCCTCCCTCCACACATGGTCACCTTCAGTATTCCCAGGAGTTATCCCTGAAGGCAGAGCCAGGAATCAGCTTTAAACACACGGTGTGTAGGCCCAAAAATTACAATTAGAATAAAATAACAACAGAAAGCTCCCTACTATGGGCCTCCTGGGTGGTGTCACCCACTTTGGGAACCATGGTTAGCATCTAAGGGCTTCCTGTCTTTTCTCTGTGTTGTGTAAAGCCCTCTGGAGTCTAACCGCCTATTCCTGGAACCCCAGGAGCTTCCTGATGGCCCGAGAAACCTTTCCCAGCATTTCTGTCACTTCCACAGTGTCACCCAGTCTGTGGGCGCCTTTTTGAGCAGAACCGCACCCAGAATTTTTGTCTGCCTTGCTACTTTCTGACATCTCTGAGATCATCAATGAGACAAGATGCTCTTAGCTGAATAGACTGCTCTTACCCGACTAAGCAGTCTGGAGCTCCTTTAGAGAGCTGCCCCTACGATGACCTTACTTTCACTCTCCCACCCCTGGAGAGGAGACCTTGGCACTCAGGGTCACAAGGATCCTGCTAACTTGAAACCTGGAGCAAGAAGGCTTTGAAGGGGAAGTGAAGAGAAAGGTCCAGGGTCAGGTCCAGACACCTGGGGCAAAGGTGTGAAGGCATCCCAGTGTGGAGGAAGCGTAGGCAGGAATGTGGGAGCAGGAAACAGAGCCGGGAAATGGCCTTGTTCCCCAGCTGCCCATCCAGACTGGCAGGGCAGGAAGGAAAGGGCAGGTGTCCAGCAAATATGGTGGCCATCCTCCCTCCTCAGGAGGATCCAGGGTCAGGATGTGGCCCAGTGGGAGAGCACTCGCCTTGCATGCATCAGGGCGTGGTCTGGATCCCCGGTTCCTGGGAAGGGGAGAGAGGAACCAGCTGGGGGCCCAGGGAGAGCTCCATGGATAGGGGTGCAGCCCCTCCTGTGCAGGCCCGAGGCTGAGCCCCAGCACCAGCCCTACATGCTGAGCAGCAAAGAGTGCAGCTGCAGCTGGAGCAATAGCACAGCAGGTAGAGCATTTGCCTTGCACATGGCCGACCGGGGTTCAATTCCCAGTATCCCACATGGTCCCCTGAGCACTGCCAGGAGTAATACCTGAGTGCAGAGCCAGGAGTAACCCCTGAGCATCACTGGGTGTGACCCAAAAAGCAAAAAGAAAAAAGTGCTTCAGCTAATGTGTGTGTAACCCACCTATCATTCTAACACCAACAAAGTGCTGGCCAGGGAAAAATTAAATAGTACAATAATACCATATAAAAAGTAGGAACCAGGACCAGAGAGATAGTTTAGAGGGGAAGGCATTTGCTTTGCACACGGCTGGCCTGAGTTCCATCCCTGGCACCACATATGATCCCCCAAGCCTGCCAGGAGTAATCCCTAAGCACCGAGCCAGGAGTAAACACTGAGCACAACCAGGTATGGCCTAACAGCCAAATTAAATCAATTAAAAAGTAGAAATCAATTTATCTCTGACATTATTTTACTCTACACTTGATCTTAGCCAAAAGGCTGAGAAGCAAGGGGCTAGAGCGATAGCACAGCGGTAGGGCGTTTGCCTTGCACGCAGCCAATATGGCCAATCGGAGTTCGATTCCTCTGTCCCTCTCAGAGAGCCTGGCAAGCTACCGAGAGTATCTCGCCCGCACGGCAGAGCCTGGCAAGCTACCCGTGATGTATTCGATATGCCAAACACAGTAACAACAAAGTCTCCAATGGAGATGTTACTGGGCCCGCTAGAGAAAATCGATGAACAACGGGAGGACAGTGACCCTCTTTGTCGGCATGAGGCTCCTGGCCATTATTTTACTCAAGAGCCATAATCCTTCTGGTAGCAGCAAGGAATGTAAGGTAAAACCCATCTTACAGAGGAGAAAGCAGAGCCTTCCTGATTGATTACACTTGGGCTGGAGAAGCACCCAGGCTGACACACCAATAGCCTGGACAGTCCTTCACCACCAAGGAAAATAGTTCCCCAACCCAGGGTGGAGGTTACCTAAGTAAATGTGAGGTACAGATGCAGGAAAATAAAGGACAGGCAGTGGGTGCTTTACCTGGAGGGTGACTCAAGATCCGCTCGGCTGAGGATGCGGTGCTGCTGCGGGCTATAGAGCCATTGAAAAGCTGTCAGTGTCCTCTCCTCAATCCGGAAACGCCCTTCCTGCACGTACCTGTGGGCAGAAGGGGAGACTGTGAGGTAGTGGCATGCGGGGAGCTGCAGAGAAGCTGCAGACTGGAAAAAGTTAGGTGAGGAGTATCTATGCCCCAATAATTCTCTTGCAGGGGCTGGAGCGATAGCACAGTGGGTAGGGCGTTTGCCTTGCATGCGGCCAACCCAGGTTCTATTCCCAGCATCCTATATGGTCCCCTGAGCACCACCAGGAGTAATTCCTGAGTGCAAAGCCAGGAGTGACCCCTGTGCATTGCCAGGTGCGACTCAAAAAGCAAAAAAAATTAAAAAGTAAATAATAATAATAATCCTCTTATCTGTCGGAAAACCTCGTTTCCTGTGGGTGGTGGGGAGAGGAGACACGATTAATGTTTGTGCATCAAGAAGTGGCCCCACGGAGCAGGTGTCCACTCCACAGAGGGAAAAGCTTTCTGAAATTGGCCATCTGGTGCGGGAGGGAGTCTCTTGGAAAGGGTGTGTGCAAAACAGAGGGCAGGTCAACGGGATTTGAGCCTCTCCAAGTGGGGACACGGGACTCTTGACATCACTGCAGATGGTGGAGTAGGGTTGGGTCTTCCAAAGTCTGAGCGCACCTCACAGGTCCAAGCCACACTCTGGATACATGGTCAGCCTGCCAAGATCCAGGAAGTTGTCTGGGCCCCGGGTACACAGTGACATGCTCTCACTCTGTGGCATAAGCATAAATCCATTCACTAACTTTGAGTCCATTGAGTTTCTGCATTGATAAGCCAAAAAAGGCATGATCCTGCCCTCCCAGGACTGAGGAGCGACCTACTGAATAATCACACAAATATATCACTCTAAACTGGCCCTCTCCTGCATAACCAGTGGCAGTCCCTTACACCCCCTTACAAGTCAAGTTTGTTTACCTAGGTTCTTGGGGCTGAGGAGATAGTTCAGTGGGTAGGACACTTCCTTGCACACGTCTGACCTGGGCCCTGGCACCACGTATGGTTCCTTAAACCCCTCCAGGAATGATTCCTGAGTTCAGACAGGAGTAAGCCTTGAGCACCACTGGGCAAGAACAAAACAAAACCAAAAATCCTAAATTTTTAAGCAATGGGTCACAACCTCAGATGGGTTAACTGAATGTGGGGGCTGTGAAAAATTTGGCAATGAAAAAAAAATGTTTCTGAATGCACAATCACCAAACATTAATTCAAAATCAAAATCGACCACTCAGTGAATCTGAGGCATCACTGATCATGCTCATCCATGTTGCATTCCACAGGTGAGAAGGGGTCACATGTGGAAAATGTTTAAGAACTCTGGTCTAAATTACAAATGCATTCCCATCTGTAAGCCAACAATCCCCTTTAAGAGATTTTGCTGCATCTGGCAGTGGGCAAGGTTATCTGGGCACCAATTACAATAGCCAAAGACTGGGAACAACCCCCACTCACATTATTAGGAGACTGGTTAAAAAAATATTTAAAAAATTGAGCGGCCAGAGAGATAATACAGTGGGTTGGGCACTTGCCTTGCACACAGTCGACCTGGGTTTGATCCCCAGCACCGTATATGATTCCTGGGCCCCAATAGGAATGACTCCTGAACATAGAGCCAGGAGTAAGCCCTGAGCATAGTCAGTTATGCCTAAAAGCCAAAAGAATAAAACAAGGAACCATCACACCATCAAGAATCCCATATTAAGCAATGAGCAGCCATTGAGACCGTGTGAATGAATATAAACTCTATGTGCCATCGTGTCCAATCTCTAAGATACTTCGGGTGGGGGTGGTGAGTGCAAAAAGAGCAGTTTGTTTAATTTATGTTTAAAAAGGAGGAGGAGCCCCCACCACACATACGCATAGCTCGAAGGGCTGGAGCAATGCTTTGCATGGGAGGTCTGTGTTCAGTCCTTGGCATAACATGGTCTCCCCACCCCTATCACCACCAGAGGAGCCCGAAGTGCTGTCGGGTAGGGGGCCCCAAAAAAAGTGGGTGAGAAGGTAATAAAATTCATATGTTCTTATCTGAACCGTAGACAGCCTGGAGATACAAAAGCTAATAAAAAGGAATTACCTGGACGGGGAGGCAGTGAAACAGATGAATGAGGGCCATGGGAGAGTAAGTTTTTAACAATGTGTCTTTTCATACAAGCAAGGTATTATCTATTCCAAATGTTTGATGTGTGTGTGTGTTTGCGTAATGATAAACTGCATAAAGAACTGTGATAAAGTTAGCAGCAGCTACTCTGATCATTCCGAGTCTGAGGGGCCCACAGGCTGTCTGCTGGGGAGGGGAGATTATTTCCCAGAAGCCTGGGTTGCTGGAGAGCAGGGGATTTTCATTGCTCCCGAGGCCTCCCAAACAGAGCATCTGACTCGCCCCCCCCCCACCCAACTCACTCCCATCGCACCCCACAGCATGGGCCAATAGGCATTTCAGAAAGACCAGCCCACTGCTGGGAGTAAATGACAGGCAGCCCATTAGAGGCTCTGACAAGGGTCAGGGGAAGAGGAGAAGTCGCTTATAGAGGGAATCAGTGCTGTAGACGGAGAGAAATAGGAAGACTCGTGTGAGCAGAGAAATAACGTGGCGGGGGAGACACAGCTAAGTTGTTCTAAGTTCCTGGTTTGTGGATCAGTAAAAGCTCCAGTGGCTGAACACATGCAAAGCCTGGGGGAGGCCCAGATTCCATTCCCAGTACTACATAGTCACCCTGAGCACGGGACTGAGAGTAGCCCCCAAACACTGCTGTTGTGGTTAGAAAACAACCAAGTTCCAGTTTGTGCAGGTGACTGGCTGCTGGACAAGAAAAGGCTTGGAAGGAAAGATTTCAGTGGGGCATGACCCTCCTCTACTCCATCCCACCCCAACGTACCCACCCTCCTATAAAATCTGCCACAAATAGGACAGGGAGATAGTACAGTGGGCAAGATGCTTACCTTACATCAACCTGGGTTTAATCCCCGCACCCTATCTGGTCCCCTGGGCCCCACCAGAAATGATCCCAGAGCGGAGCCAGAAGTAAGCCCTGAGCACCACTGGACGTGGCCCAAAAAACAATATCAAGAAAAACCCTGGCACAAAACTTGGGTCCTCAAGAAGCCTGCCCTGAATTATCTCATCCTGCTCTGATCATATGTTTCCAGGCCTTTCCCCTGCCCCCCCACACCTTCTTCCTCCTTCATATCAGCCCCCCACTTCCAAACACAGATCTTGTCAGTTTCCCCAAAAAATTAGTATCAAGCCGGAGTGATAGTAGAGCGGGTAGGGCTTCTGTCTTGCACGTGGCTAACCAAGGTTTGATCCCCAGCATCCCATACGATCCCCCAAGTACCACCAGGAGTGATTCCTGAGTGCAGAGCTAGGAGAAACCCTTGACCCAAAAATTAAAAAAAAGAATGGTATCTCCTGCAGCATATTAAATATATTACCCACGATTCCTACCTCAGAAGTGCAACCCTTCCTCACTGAAACTTACAGTTTCTCCCACCTGTCCATTCTACTCCACCCCACCTTCACAGGTACCGACCCCTGCATTCCTGCATTCCTGATGTCTTTGTTCTTCTACAAACACGTCCACCCTGGTCCAGCCTCGGGGCCTTTCATCACATAGATCTAAACTGCTTTCCCTCCATCTCTCCCCCAAACTACCCATCCTGTCCCCACCCTTCAAACCGCCAGCTCCAAGAATCTGCCCCCTGGCCTGTTGCCAGGATCCAAGTAGGCCCCAAGATTTCAGGAAGGCTTTGCTTAACCTTGATCACAACATTGTTCAACACTGCCAGCCTGCACATGAGTTATTTATGTGCTGTCTGTCTCCCAGCTCCAGTGCAAAGACTGCCTAATTGACGCCAGAATCCCTCGTGAAACCTCACACAATCCTCTTTCCTACCCAGTCAGCCGGCTGCAAAATATTGCAACAGCACAGGGATCGACTCATTCCTTCCTCGGAAAGCCTCTTTCAGAGAATGAAGGCACAGGCACAGATTATGTCCATTAATGAATACAATGTATTAACTTAGTAAGTGGAGTTCTTAAATTGGAGGCAGTCAAAGGGGAAACAGAATGAAAGGGGAACAGAATAAAAGGGAGAACGGAATGCCACCTGTCTCCACATATCTTCCCTATGAACCTGACGTGTATCTGAAATGCTGACAAAGAGCAGACTGAAGGAGATTAACCACTGCAGAGGGTTGGCCTGGTAAACCGTTATCAGCCATGAATACTCTAGCAAGTACCAGCTTCTCAGCCGATCTCTGGGACCATAAGGGTCAAGAGACAAAGGCAAATTTGGAACATTTTTTTTCTTTTTGGGTCACATCCGGCGATGATGTATAGGGGTTACTCCTGGCTCGTGCACTCAGGAATTACTCCTGGCGGTGCTCGAGGGACCATATGGGATACTGAAAAATCGTACCCGGGTCTGCTTCGTGCAAGACAAACGCCCTACCCTCTGTGCTATCATTCTAGCCCCACAAATTGGAAACATTTAGAACAATATGAAAAAGAAGAGGAAGATCAGGAACTGTGTACAGAAACAGGCCCCAGGATGTGGGTAGGGAAACACCCCCAGGAGGGTTCAGCCCATTACATCATTAAAAGGAAAAAAGGCTTGCTCTTTATGGGTGCAGCCTACGTTCTCTCTGAATATTGGGATACATCAGGTAGACACTGAAATCTGCACCATGAAAACGTTAAGTGAAAGAAATCAGGGGCCAGAGCGATAGTACCATGGGTAGGGTACTTGCCTTGCACGTGCTCAACCCTGGCTCAATCCCTGGCACCCATATGATCCCCAGAGCACCACCAGGAGCAATCCCTGAGCACAGAGTTGAGAGTAAGCTCTGAGCACTGCTGGGTGTGAGCCAAAAAGAAAAAGATTTTTTAATTTAAAAATATCAGTCCCAAAAAACTTCATATTATCTAGCTCCACTTACATGAAAGTCCAATAAACAAATACAAAGAAAGAGAAAATAGCTTAGCAATTACTTCAGGTTATGGGGAAGAGATGAGGTGTGAGGAAATAAT